GTTCACTCTCGGAAACCATCAACAACCTTCATGGTTCAATCACCGGTAGTCGTTAAACACTGATGAGATTGATACTTAAGTTTCTGGTTGAAATAAAATATCATGTTTGAAAGAACATGAAAAAAAAATGTTTGCTTTTTAAATGAAAATGTGTAAAAAGGAAAGGCATCTACATATGTAAACGGCAATCATAGCTACGCAAGAAAGCAGTGACGATGAAATGAATACGAATGATAAAAAAAGGAGTCATAAGATTTAAAAGCGTGCATAATACAAGATTACTAGTGCATTAGAGAAATTAATTCATGCAGGATTGTTATATGAGCAATTAGCTCATTTACTTTATATTTATAGATGTCTGCGGAAAAAATGCTAAATTTATTCAAGATTTTCAATCTAGAACGTCACCTAAATTTTGACGTTTATAGTTCATGCTTTTGACCATTGGAGAATAGAAGTTGAAAATTAAACGTTCTTCCTCCACAGAAAACTAGTCTATTGGACTTCTATTTTATTTTGATTCACCTATGAGCAAAATAAGGAAGGAAGCATTCATTTACCTTACGGTTAACTTGCAGTACGAAGTGCTGTATAGTAGCAGATTGAGTAACTCGATATATTCTCTACAACTAGTACTAGCTGTAGCTCTATGCAAAAGGTCAGTCTGGCGCAGAGTTCTTCTACTGTCCATGAGCACTAACTAATCAAAAGAGCAGATGTATCGCATAACATAGTCAGTATGCTATTTAACAGATGATCTGAGGCAAACAGTTGTTAATGACTTGTGCACGGTCATTCCATAGTTATTGGTACTTTGTGGATACATATCGAGCTACGGCGTTAGTCAGCCATGTCGGTCCATAATAAGCATAGCAGTGTACAAGATTCTATAAATTGGGTTTGTCAAAATGTTTGACAACATTTATGGGAGCTATGATAGTTATGAACGAACCACAAATTGATTTTTATACTTATTCCTGTTCTGTGTATCAGATAACCTGAGTTATACGTTCATTACACATTCCTGTCATCAACTCTTCTCAGATCTAAAACTATGAATACGTTAACCCGAGTTTGTTACGATACTTTGGTTTGAGAAATATCGAGCGTCGGAGGAGTTGAGAAAAAAATTCTGCATCACTTTGCCAGACGACATCATCTGAGAAGCTCATATATAGTTCAGAAACGCAAGAGGACAGATTTTCATTATCTTCAAAAGATTGCAACCTAAACTCATTACTACACAATGAAAGTTTATCATTTTTATGAAATCGGTAATTCAGATCTTATGAATGTTTCAATAATGGATGTTGTACACATCTCATACTGGCACTTATTTATTAAATTTGATAGAGTATCATGGAATTTCAACCGATCATCGTTAAGTTAAAGATTTGTTCATATGTCTGTCAATATAAACATCATTTCATTTCTAGACTGTATTTGATTCCATAGCCCTCATTAATGTTCATACGTACGCATTTTTCAGCTTAAGAAAGAAGCTAAACTGCATGCGTCAAAGTAGTTGTACAACTAAACAGCAAAATGTGAGAATAGGCTTCTGTTCTATGGAACATTTTTTGCTAATGACAAATTAGAATATTACAGAAAGAATCATCATTTCTGACAGAACATGAATAGCTTTAGTACTGGTGTAAAACGTGAAGTAATCATTTGAATTTTCATATTTGAAAAGTATATTTATCTGATGATTATTTTCAGCAGTGATTTGCAGTACTGTAAACTGAACGAAATGAGGTTGATAATTATTTAAGAGGTCAATCAATATTAGAAGATAATCTTAAACAAGAAAAGAATCACTTCATTATTTTTATGACTTTTTTTTCTTCATATTGTGACATAGAACAACTAAAATGAGATGACTTCAAAAAATGATTGAATATTTTTGCCTTGTCATTTGATTATTTTTTCGAAGATTCGAGATTAAAAAAAGAAAATAAGGAATATATATTGTAGAAACTTTTTCTTTTTACTTATTATTGTGAATAAGAACTTTTTTTTCTATTTAATTTCTGAAGAATATCAAATAGACATTGACAAATATATTGACATTTATATGAGTTATTATTCATTGATGATAAAATTTGATAAAGATGTGTTAAGATTTCAATCAAAAAAACTTTTTCATGTGAATGAAATTGACGAAGATATTCAAGAATAAATTCTGAACTCTGAAGAATATCAATTAAATATTGATATTGAAGAAAATTTTTTGGATTTAATAATTGACATGAATATTTTTTGGTTATGATTGTCCGAAGTATATGACAAATTTCTGATGTATCAGAAAGAAATGTGAGGAGATCAGTTGATGGTTCTAGATTAGGATTTGCATCCGCTACATGTACTTCATGATGAATTAAATCAGAAAGAATTTCACCAATAGTTGAAGAGTTAATAGATTCAAAATCTAAAACATAGAATTTATGTTTAATAATAAAAAAAAATTCAATTAAGTCTCACGTTTTGTAAATAAACAAAGAAAGAAATCAAAGCAAACTTAAAATGCTCTTTTCATAAAGTTCGTATGTGAAGTATAAAGAAATATAATTGCACGAAATCCAAACAACGGCACACACCTAACTTTCGGATGCTGCTACACTTCAGATTATGGCTTCGACAAGGTCCCTGTGTGACTAAGAAAAATTGAAAAAGAGTCGAATTCATGGTCTTAGGGAGTTGCGGATCTAAAGTTTAATTTATTGCCGAGACCAAGTTCAGAAGTTTAACTTTGTTCAGATCCGGGTCCACAAAGACGTATATGTACAACTCACTACATGCCCTACTGATATAGAGTACTAAGCATTTTAATGAAAAATTTACTGACATCAAAAGATTTTTGAATGATTCAAGACAAAGTGTTTCGAACTGAAAGTTTGCCTATAGATACATGTGATAGTCTTGAAAGTTGCAATAAAAAACGAAAATATTTTTCTCAAGATATTCAGTGTCTAAAAAAGCAATGATGTACCGTAGGGCAATACGGTAATCAAGTCTGCTTGAAGTTGAATATTTCGAGAACAACATATTCATTTTCGCTGAAACTTTCAAGACTATCAAACATATCTTTAGGCAAAATTTCAATTCGAAACATGTTGTTTTATGTTATTTGAAAATCTCTTATTCTCAAAAAAATCTTTATTGAAATCAATAACACTTTTCATCAATAATCCATGATCAAAAATTCTTTGTCTTTTTATTTTAGCTGCACCGAGATTTACTCGTAGCCCCTATAGAAATTCGAACGGCATTCGACAGTTACTTGTAAGATTATCTTACCTGATTGTTGAAGATTTTGAATCAACATTTGTATATTTTTATGATTGATCATTGAATGATGATTTCTAATATTGTCGAAGGTTGTATTGTCAGATACTGTATATATAAACATTTATTAGTTATTAACAGTTGTATTCTAGTTTGTATTTATTGAATTTCTCAGTTCGAAAAAATAAAAGTAAAAGAAAAAATAAAGACTCATTTTCTTACATTTTCTTTCTAGATAACTAGCATCATTATCATCATCGAAAAGCAGTGAATCGACGCTTTGATTTGTTTGTGAAGACCTACAATCTATTTTAAAATCATATAATCTTTGTATTTTACATTGATCATTATTATTACTATCGTCTGAATCACAATCATTAGAGAGTGGACGAATTGTTGATTTAGCTGAAGACAAAAACAGAATGACAGCAATATTTATAGATAAAAGGAACAAAATAGTTGAAGAATAGATAAAATTTACTAACAGTTAATTAAATCAAAGATTCGTTATAGAAACTTGAAATGCATTATAGTAAAAGGCTAGGAAAGAAAATAATGAAATAAATGGAAATGAAAGACTTTGCTAAAACAAGAAATCAAAGTATTGGGTTAATCGGGCTATATTTCATAATATGGATGGAGTACGTCATTGACTTTAATATGGAACAAAAATATTTATCTATTGCATTATGGAGACAGTGGAAAAAGACATTTGTTTATAGTATGGAGGCTGAGTCAGTATTGCAGTCGGTCCGATCTTCAGCGGTTGGAAAATATTTTATAGATATCCCACTTTTCTCTGATAAAACTTCTTGAGAGTAAGTTTGCTTGCTCTTATCGAAATAACCAAACATTACTGTTTCAAAAACTATCAAATTTATTTTCTTCTGTTCGTCGACAGTTTTATTTCTTTTATCAAAGTATATTTGATTTTTCCAAAAGCACAATCGAAAATGTGTTCCTTAAACTAAACATTTTTTATAACGATCGAATGTCGGTTTGAATCATGGTTCGAAGAGAAATTTTAGTTTGACTGGAAAAGGTTGAGCAATATATTCATCTTTGAGAAACCTAACAGATATAAAAGACTCCAATATGATATTTCCTTGTAGTGAATTGTAAAAAACTGACGAGGTATAGTGCCCAGTTAATTAAAAGCTTTTGAGCCCATATTTCGCTTTGTGATAGGAGACCATAACCTATAACAGGCTCTAAAGGATTCGCGCTGACGTAAAACTTGGGTCGAGATATTGACTTTTAAGTGGTTTTTTCTTGTATAGATCCAAGCACTCGATAAAATCCTATTGTTGAATTTCAACTTGAAAACTTAGCCCAGTTGAAGATTTCAGTGAGAATAGCTGATGCACTAAATTTCAGAAGTTTTCGATCGAGTGTCTCTGAAATACACATTTATCAGACTTCAAACAGTTTTCTATGAATACAGTTTGAAAATGCATATTTTGAAATTTGTATATTCAGAAGAACTCGATCGGAAACTTCTGAAATTTCTTGCATAAGTTAGTCTCACTGATGCCTTCACCTGAGCCAAGTTTCCAGGCCAAAACTAGACAATAGGATTTTATCGAAAGATTGGATTCATTCAGAAAAAACCTACTAAGCCATAAATATCTTCGTCAAATCTTAACGTCAACACAAACCTTTTGAAGCCTGTTCTAACCTATACGTTTCTTACCACAAAGTAAAACATGGGCTCAAAAGCTTTTAGTCATCTCGGGCCTTTCATAGTGAGTACAAAAAGGGAAATAAATGCTTTTGGAAGCCATTCTTGTTAACCAATTCATAATGATTCCACAAATCGGCCAATGTTTTCATCAATTCGCATCGCTCTAGAAGGTTTTTTTGAAACGATCAATTATAACTTTGAGCTAAATACGGTAATCATAAGAGCGTATGAATATAAATGAGATGAAAACCTATTCGAATCCACGTCCATATCGTATTTTATACAGATAAAAAAATCTATATGTGCCATTGACCAAATATGGGTTTTTATCTGACCATTTAAATCACAAGCATAGATAAACAATCTGTCTAAACTTACGTGTGTGTGATGGCTTAATGAAAACGTACCTAAAAACAAATAAAGAAATAAAGAAAATTATTGAAAAAATATTTATCAAATTTACCATAAGAAAAACCCAAGTATAATAATACTAACAATAAAAAGAAAGGCAAAAACCCCATAATGAGAATGTCCTTGTTCAGTAATAATTGGTGAAAGTTTGTGATAATTGCTCTGGGTTTTTGTGGTAACTAAAATAAAAATTAAATAACAACAAATACTTATTTTGTCTAATTGACTTATTCAGCATAATGATGGATCAAGTATCTTTATGAAAAATGAAAAATACTGTCCTGCTTTACCCGTTATTGGTTGAACATACATGCATAAACAAAAAATGTTGATGATTTATTTTCTTTAATCGCTTTTTTATAATGTGTTATTAATTTTCTCATTTTTCTATGTATTAATTTTCGTTTTTTCTCTTTTCTATTTTCGTCTAGATAAGAATAATTATCAATTAAATTCGATTTTCCAATCATTTCAGAATCACATATAGATGATAAATCATATAAATAACATGGATTAACATGTGTTGTTGGATGAACATGTAATCGAACAAATGATCTACGCACAATTACTGTAAATTTTCCATGAAGATTTATTTCATAAATTTTATCTAATTGATTTGTATATTCTTCTTTAGATTTATAGTTTAAAGATTTCTTTTGTTTAAACATTTTCATACCTCTAATATCATTGTTTGATTTTGTTTGAATAAATTGTCTATTATTAAAAAAGAATTTTTTCTTCATCTATGTCTAAACAATATGATTTCTTTTTTTTTTGTTTTGTTTCATGGTAACTATGAGAATTTAATTAAAGACATAAACTGTGACTCGAAGTTAAATTTTATTTAAAAAAAAATTCAAAACAACACAGCAAAACAACAAATACATATTTATTCCTTCGCTTCTTCACAAGGTGTTTCGTTATTACTGAATGGATCTGTAGCATAGGTTAAAGTACATTGTTCCTGTCGAAATCGTTTAGCATTTTTAGTTAAATTTTGTGCCCATTCATCACAAGCAGCTCTTTTTAAACGATATTCTTGAACTTTTAAATTAGCATAATCAGATAAATCTTGTGTTAATCTAGCCAAAAGATCTTTTTCATGAGTAAATATACCACCAGCTAATATACATTCAATATCTGAAGCCCATTTAGTTAGACTACTCATATCAAAACAAAAAATATAAACCACTGGTAAAATTCCATATTTAATTATATCAGGAACAATACTTTGTGCATGTCGACCTTGAATAATACAGAAAAGTTTTTTTTGTCGAATCGATGATAAAAATCGACGGCATTGATCAACATCATTAAAGAAATATATATTAGTTGTATTTGATTCAAATTCTTGTTTAAGTTCAATACAATTTTCAGCTTGACCAATATGATCATCAAGCCAGAGTAGAACTACATCACTTCCGATGATTCTTTCTACGGCTTCCATTTAAAATAACATAAAAAATATATCAATGTAATTACTTTCTATAAAGAAGACAATATTTATTTTCTTTCGGCAGTCATATCATAGAATGGAATGAATCAAGTTATTCCTGTAGGTCACAATATACGCTTAGATTGTTCTTCTACGACATCTATTGAAATATAAACATTTTTGGATGTTCGTCGGTAGGAAAGTTTAAAAATTAGCTTCAAGTATTGAAGTGTCACTTGAAGTATTTATAAACTAATCTGATTGAGAGTCTAAAGAGCCGTATCTGAGAACCTGTCGGATTGGTCCGTGACCTTAAAGTTTTGTATAAACCGAATTCGGGTTCGAAAATTTTTGATCAATGGCCTTTAATCATCTAACGAAATGTGTCTATTCTTAAAAATAATTCTATATAATACTAGAACTTGTTTGATAACAATCGCACCATCACTACTTTTATTAGTACATAAATTGTTCTACTTTTTTCGTTATTAAGTCGAACAAGAAAAGAGAATGTAACCATTATTTCCATAGCAGTTAAAAGTCAAGAGAAATACTTCCTAGATTATTCAAAAGGGTCAAGTAGATGAATGTAAAAAAGATTCGGACAATAATCAGATTAAAAAATATTTACAATCACAATTAACACAAAAAAATCTAAAATTCATTGATTTTTTCGGATTATTTTCGCTTTTTATTAATGAAAAATTGTGCAAAAAACAGTGTTTTTTTTTCTCATCAAATTTTAATCTGTTTTTTTTTAATCCTAATTTCTTTTCTACATAGAAAGTCTTGAGCAATATTGAAAACTGTATGAATTAACGATTACAATCATTTCAACATTCGATCAATTTACTCTATTACGAAACTTTCTAATACATACTTTTTTCAAAATCCTATGTGCTGGTTAAATATGTATGTTCAATAAAGATGATTGTAATTCAAGTGTTTCGTTCATAGTTGTTCACAGAGAAAAACCACTTCAAGAATGCATCATTTCATTCATAGTCGACGAGTAAAAATACGAGAAAATGTAATTTGCTGATTAATACATGAAACAACACTCAGAAGAATCATCTATAACTACTATGTTTTTAAGGACAAGAACGATAAAGTGCATGATTTTATTAAACATATCAATTAAATGAAAAAAATTATTATTTCAAATCAATTGAATCATCTCAAAAAGTCAGAAACATAATCAAGTTAAAATGATTGCTAGTTATAACCAATTTAATTGTTTATCGTTTTGCTCATCTATCAACTTTGCAAAAAAAACAATTTTAACTTTCACACTGCTTATAAAGCCCTATGAGTTGTATTTACAGCATGAATAAATAACAGTTCTTTATTGTATCTTGTAATGATATAGATTACATAAATCTACCCGAGATTTAATGTAATTCATATATTATGAATTGATGCAACTCATATCTTTGTTAAGCTACGAGAAGGACCCATTATGTTTCGATTTATTTAAAGATATATATATTTTTTTTTATAGTAGAAACTCCAAGATAAGTTTTAAGTTCTAAGTCATGCTCGACACTCTTTCATAATCAAGTGGAATAGAATGTTTTTTTTTTCAGAAAGATTTCTTCAAATAAGCAGTGTTTGTCGACGATCATACATGTTAAAGTTAATTGATCGTAGTTTTAATTGAGTGATATTAGTTATTTATGAAGAATGAACCATATTGATGCTAATATTTTTTTTTCGAACGATCTTAGTAGATACAGTTCATAAAATTTTATTTGTCCATCTATCTTCATTTCAAAATTTTCGTATAGTTTCCTAATAGTCATCCGAAATAAAACAAACTAAACTAAAATTTTATCCTTCCATCAATGTAAACAATTGTATGAATGGCTTAGTGTATGTATGCTCGAATCTAGATATTTTCAAAAATACGGGATGTTTTTTTGTAATTAATGTAAAAAACCTAAGTGAATAATTCCAGCACCTAACTTCATAGATTTCTGGTCTGACAATGGGAAAGATTGGATATTTTCTGTAAGAGTTGTATAGTGTAAAATATAAATTATTTAAATATATTTATTGACGAAATAACAAGTTACAGATGAATAATACGTATTTCCGATAGATGGTAGCCATTGTCGATTGAGATATGTAATTCTATCGCTGAATTTTCACTCCAATAGAAATCAAGAAAAAGTGTTGTTATACAAAAGCTCAGATCGAATAATTTTTTATTCGACAAACAACTATTAAAACTTTACACGTTAATATTTATTATATCATCTAAATTTTCAGATGGCAACTGCAACAATGGATGCTAAATTAAAAGAAGCTATACCATTATATGAAAAACTAAAAAATGAATGGGGTCGTAAGCCACCCAATGTTGGCAAAACTGATGAATTGCTCAATTTATTAAAAGTACCTTTTTTTTTTCTTCTTTTGATTGTTTATTTCATATTAAAATAAATTTTTCTTGTTTTAGAATTTATTTGCTGAAGGTGGATTCTATCCATCAGATTCAAATGAAGATACACGTGGTTTACATATTGCACGTATGTTTTTATTTTCTTGTATTAATTATTGAATAGAGAAAAAAAATATATTTAAAATAGGTGATACACTTGAAATAGCTGCACAATGTTCAATTCAAAAAGGTGATATACCAGCATTTGAACGAGCTCTTGCTCAGCTTAAACCATTTTATTTTGATCTTGAGTATGTTTTTTTGTTTTTCATTTTATATGTTTCTTTTTCCTTTTTTAATGATATTAAGAAACCGAATACCTGAATCACCATATCGTTATTTATTACTTGGTTTAAATTTACTTTGTTTATTATCACAAAATCGTCTTGCTGATTTTCATACAGTAGAAAATTCTATTTTTTTTTTTTTGAAAGAAAAACAATGAATATTTGTTTATTTTCTAAGGAATTAGAATTACTTACACCAAAAGTTATTCAAACAAATCCATATATAAAACATCCTGTTTCACTTGAACAGTATTTAATGGAAGGAAGTTATAATAAGGTAAAGAATTTTTTAAATTAAATAAATATATAAATAAATGATTTTTGAATATGATTAGGTTTTTCTTGCTAAAGGAAATGTACCATCACCATTATTTACTTTCTTTATGGATATTCTTCTTAATACAATTCGGTATGATTCTTGTTTCTTTTTTTTGTACTTAATATCATTTGATACTTTTTTTTTTTTTAGTGATGAAATTGCTTTTTGTATGGAAAAATCCTATAGACAAGTATCATTACATGAAGCTGCACGTATTCTTTATTTAAATAATCCAGAAGAATTAGCTGAAATGGCAAAAAATGTAAAAAAAAAAAAAGGAATTGTTTTTTTTTTTTCTAATTAATTAAATTTATTTTTTATTTTTAGCATGGTTGGAAATTAGAATCTGATCAAGCATTTCATTTTGCTGATAATCAAATAAAACATGAAAATGAACATTTACCTGCTGATGAAATTGCAACACAAATGATTCAATATGCACGTGAAATGGAAATCATCATTTAATTCGTTGTTCAAACTTTTCTTTTATGATATAATAAACTCGAGAGAAAAAATATAGGATGCTTTTTTTTTTTTTGTTTCATCTATTATCCTCAGAAAAAAAAACAATTTTTTTGTTGATTATTCTATCTTTTAGATAAAATGTTTAATTTAAATTTTTCTGCTAAAATTAAAGAAGCTGAAGAACATGTTAAACAAGGAGAAAAATATTTAAAAACATCATTTACAAAATGGAAGCCAGACCTTGATTCAGCTATTGATGAATTCGATAAAGCATGTACATGTTATCGTGTTGCAGAAAAATATGAACAATGTCGAGATTTATCAATACGATTAGCTGAATTACAAATACAAAAAGGTAGTACATTTTTTGCTGCTAAATCCTATGAACAAGCAGCACAAATGGCACAACAAGTACAAGATTTAAAAACAGCTGCTAAATATTATGATAAAGCAGGCGAATTATATGTTGAAGGAGGTAGAATTTGAATGTTAATTTAAATAAATATTCGTTTATAATTACTTTTTTTTTTGAAAATAGGTCATTGTGATTCTAGTATTATACTTTATGAACGTTGTGCACCACAATTTCAACAATTTGATCGTACAATATCTATTGATTTTTATCTTAAAGCAGCACATTTAGCTGAACAAGATAAAACTTATCAAGCAGCTGATTTATATGAAAAAGCAGCTATGCAAACACTTCGTACAGGAAATTATCCAAAAACAACTGAATTACTTGAAATAGTTACAAAAACTTTAACAACATTAGAACGTTATGATCGTATTAATCGTGTAATACTTTATCGAATATTACTTAAATTATTTAATGATGATAGTGTAGCTGGTAGAAATATATTTGATCAAGCTTGTCAAACTTATCCAACATTTGAACAATGGGAAGAACGAAATCATATTGAATTATTACTTGATGCATTTGATCAAGATGATAAAGATTTAATTAGTCAACGTTGTCAAGTAAACTAAAAAAGAACAAAAACTTTTCTTTCTTTCTTTAATACCTAATTTCATTGTAGAAACCATATTTTATGGCAATTGAACCTGAATTTGTTCGTTTAATAAAACGTTGGATTCGTCCAATAGCAAATAAAGATGATGGACAACAAAAAACAATAAATAGTGCTTCTTCATCAACATCTGGAGTCAAACCAGTGCAATTAGATGATGATGAAATTGATTTACGTTAATTATTTAAATTCCATATATTGTTTTTGTCTGTATGTGTCGTGTAATTTTTTTTTTCTTCCTTTTTTTTTTTATAAATATTTTATTTTTTGATGTTGTCTTCGTGCAATAATTTTCTTGAATACATATAAATAAAGTTTAAACATGCAAACATGAAATTTTACCGCCTGTTCTATATTCTATTCAACTACGATTTCATGATTGTTCTATTAATAATTATTAGTAGTATTCTATTCATTAGTGGATTATTAATTGCTATTTGTCTTGTTCGATATTTAAGTATAAATAGAAAGTCTTCATCGAACATGATAGATTCTAATCTTGTTAAATCTCAAATAAAACCATCATCAAAAATATCTATGATATCTGATTCAAATTCTATAATAAATAAATTTCAATCCGAAAATCAAATTACTCTTGAAGAAAAAGAACCTTCGATTGATATCTCTCAAACATCATCATTACTTATGCCATCAAAAGTTGTATGGAAAAATGAAAATTTTATTTCTGATGAATCTTTACAAGATACAAAACATCATCATGATTATTCTGAATGTCTAAGACTTGGTTCAGTACTTATTGATAGACCACTGGGTATTGCAATGCAACCATTAGATGGTATGGGACCAGTACTAATGAAATTCAATATGTGTGAACAACATTGGATAAAACCTGATAATCATTGATATGAACTTTTATTTTTTCATTTGATCTGTCTGAAAATAAATTTCACTATATAGTTGCTTATAAAATAAGAAGAAATATTCAACTGTCATTTTTCGATGAGAATCAATAAGCATTTTTCCATAGGGGAAGAGGATTTGTGATTTTTAAACTTATAATGACCTTATTTTCTGCTCTATATTGCTTTATGATTTCTCAGATATCAACATAATCTGAAAATTTATTGTGAGAAATCCTTACTGTCATTGTATGTAGGAAACTTTTTATCGAAAGATTGATATAGTATACATGATTCGAAGTAGTTTCCGATATTGATTCCAAATATGAACTTAGTGTTCAATAAAAGTGTTTCTACTCAAGAACCGAGGTGCAGAATTTGCCGCAAAAATGAAAAATTTTCTCACCTACAAAGAAGAGAAAAGAGTGTCTTTGTTTGAGGATGCATATTCATAAAAATAGAACATCAAAGGCCAGCTATCGGTAAGGTGTCAAAAACGATCGCGACGTAAAAAAAACCAAAATCATTGTGATTGTAATCGATTATTATGCAAAGAAAATTTAATAAACTGATGTTATGAACATAGAACAGCTACAACAAATTTTTAATCATCGAAATTGAGTAGAGTCCCTTTCACAATAGAAGACTATTACTTTTCATTTGAGTTTTTCAGATCACCCTTCTCGAAGCTGTCTTCTAATATGAATATAGTCTTTGAGATGTTCTTTGAGAATTGATTTATTTAAGCAGTGTGTTTTATATTTAAAGAGGTGAATTTTGGTGAAACCTTTGTGTAACTCTGAACAATCTATTTATTTTCAGGTAAAGTATTACTAAAAACTTTGAAAGTTTCCAGTTTTAACATAAATTAATAACAGAAATAGTATGATCTGTTAATCCGTTTGGATTATTTTCTAAACAATAGTCTTCTATTGCGAGAGAAAGGTTTTATAAAGAATCCTGTGCAGGCAACTTATTATAGTTAATAAATCAGATAGATTGCAATATATTATTCCCACATATAATCTATTATATTGAATTTCGTTGACTAGAGACCAATATAAATTGTTGCATATTCATATAATTATTTTATTATATCCCGCTGTAAAAGGATGCTATTTTGCCTTTACATGAAAACTCTTTGATAATTTAAACTCACAACGATAATGTTTAAAAAAGAATAAATGACAAGAAACAGCGCTGAAAGAAAAAAGGCATTCAGAGACGAATGATATGCATGCAAATGAGACAGAGAAAGAACCAATAAACTAGAGAAATCGTTTATTGAGTTTATGATTTCTCCATCGAGGACGACATTCTTCGAAAAGTTTTCCGATCTCGACGTGATCAATAATTTCCCTAGAGTCAAAAAATTTCCCAAAACGCGAATTCCCACCCACGGGTAGATTCTGTATCTCTGCTCGAGATAGATGGATTCTATCTCGAAAACTATCAGCTCAGACTTTGAACATTCGTGCTTACTCTACATCGACTATAGAAATTGTCATAATTTTGATTTATTGGTTCATATGGCTCTGTTTTAACTATATTATTTTAACTAGTCTGACAATATAGGACAAATTAATAACAACTAGAGTATGTGAGCTTCATATTTTGCCCTCTCATCGAGTTGCATCGACGAAGCTTGTAATAGATCGTTCGCTAACACTAAACAAATTACGACCAAACTTGAGTAATTGATATTCAATTCAATATTCAAATGAGATCATTTCAAATTAAATGATCATAGATTGATTTTACTCGTCCTCCTTATTTAGAAATCAGTTAGACGATCTGTAATCATTCACGTTCATTTTTATTTCTTGTATGATGAAAAACTTTTTTAAATGATAAAACAAAAATCATAGATTAATCTTGAGTAAAATAGAAATCACAATTAAATATGTTTATGTATCAAAATTCATGATTGTCTGAGCTAGTATTGATATAGGACCATCAACAGATAATAATTTTAATGTAGATGGTCGTTGATTATCATCATTTATTTTCCACTCGTTGTATAGCCGTCATTATCGATCGCAACGATTCATTTATCTGAATAAATAACATTGTTTTAACAATAATAACAAAAAAACAGCAAGGAACTCTCATTTCTACCTGTTGTACATGATTTGTTAGTTGTCTATTAATCTAAATGATTAAAAATTACAAAATTAATTAATTACAATAATTTTATACCAGTTGAATATTTTCTTTATTATCCGTTGCAATTGATTTTATTGCAAATATTTCTTCATCTAAATGTGAAACCCTTTCTTCGAGATCAGAATTTGATTTTTCTACATCAGATCTATACAAAAACTATCATTAAAGTCAAGAAAAGAAAGAAAATAGGGTCATGCTCAGTAGTATCCGTTGTTTTTGTTGAATGAATCGTATCTGTAGTTAAAACATCTATCTTTTTAGTTTCTTCGAGTATTGAACGAGCGTCAATAAGGGTAGCTGCATTTTCAAATGCATCCCATCGATCCGTTCCTTCGTATTCATTCGCTGAAATCATTTCTAAATCAATTTTATACATTAATTTAACTAGAAACGAAAAGAAATTGTCGAATTTACTAAAAACTCGAAGAATTCCTTTTGATTTTGATTTATGACCTGCAACTTCAACTTGACTATTACATAATTTTCGGTAACATTTCTGTTGAAGAATAATGAACAATATCACGATATATGTCAAAATGTTCAATGGCGGATAAGCAAATAAAAGACGTTCAAAATATTCTCGAACAAATGCATAACGTTGATAACGCCAATAAAACTGAGTGTTTTCTTTTACTGCATCAATTGTATGACTAAATTCAATGATTCAATTTAGTTTAATAGAACTCTGCCTACGATAGAAGACCCCTCTCCTTCCTATTCCTTTATGTTTACATCAAAACATGCCTGATTTTGAATTAAGAAATCTTAAATCATTGAGATTAACATTAAACCTGAACTCTGAGAAATGTAAAAATATTTTTCTTGATCCTTACAGCCGTTTTTGTTTTCTAAGAAAACTCTCGTAATCAAAAGTTATGTAAATAAATATGATACAATGGAAGACTCCAAGGAGATATTTGAGCCCTTTGACATAATTAAAGATTCAGGGTCTTCTATTGTAGTGAGGGGTTTACTAATGATTGAACATTTACGTAAAAACTGCAATTAATAAATTTAGTATGAGGATATTAATAAACAACATATGCAATGCTAATAAAATGTGTGTAGCTGTTGCTTCTGCAACAATTGATGCTGTATCATTTTTGATTTTCTCTAAATAAAATAAAAACTAATATAGCAACTTTAGAAACAAAGTATAAAAAAAACATTACCATCAAGTAAATCTTTATCAGCTATTGTTCCATATATAAACCAATATGGTTCATAAAAGATTTCCTTAACTATATCGTTGAAAGTAAATGGAATTTGTTTGTAAAAAATCATCGCACGAGATACGACTCCATACGCAGCTATTGCTATGAAAATCATATAAACAAAACCAGATAAATCTCGAAGCTAAAATTTCATCAATTTAGAAAACAACAGAACATATTGAAAATCACACAAACCATATTTCTAAGCATAAATAGTTTTGGACCAAACGATTTTATACCCATCATGAATTTCAATGATTTAATATACCATAATTCAAGATCAAATGCCAAAATAATCCTATAATGAAATGATTGATAAAACACTATATGAAATATTCAATGAACCTTGCGGTAGTTTGTATATCTTTATCATAAGTTCCGAATCGAAAAACAAGACCCAGATAAAATAGAAAATAAGGTGCAAAATAAAATATAATTGTTAACAGTGTTAGAAGAATCGATTCTGTTGAACCCCATCGTTCAACCATTCGTGTTTTATATTCATAGCACAACTTTAATAAAGAATATAACTCTTTTTTTCAATAACATAAATTAATTTTACTTTTCGACATTCTTCAATAAACATGCTTGATATTGTTATTATCACGTAAATTTCAGTCCAATGTGGAACTGTAAATGTAGCTGGACTATCACAATGATAAAGCATCATGTAACTAAATACAAGTAAAAACCATATGTAACTGATCTAAATAATAATAAAAAAAAACACGAAATATTTTCATAAGTTAAACGTAAATTTTCATACTAAATGATACCACATTTCTATCATTGGACTGTTATGAAAATCAATAAAACGAGTCCCAAATCGAGCAAAACAATTTTTAGGTGATTTTTTAACCATATAATAATTTATACCATGTGAAGATAACCTATGAGAAAGATGATGTGTTTAGAAAAATAATTTTTTGAAATGTGAGATTCCTGTTTACCGGTGACCTTTGATTTCCTAAAATTTAGATGAAATAAAAATATTCACTTCAAAAAAAAAAAATACTCGTTTACATACAAAATCTTCTTCTCGATAGGAAATAATGAGAGGTGCTAGTAGACCGAAAGATAATATAGCTAGAACTTGCCTTGATTGTTCAAATATACCATGATTTGCAATAGATAATTTATTGAACCATACTTGATTCAAAGTTTGATCAAAACAAGATGTTGCAACTAATTTTTGACTTTTACTTGAAATCGCAACCTAAATCATTATTCAATAGAAAAATGTTATGTACTCAAAAATATTTATTCAAGATTAGTAACCTGCATGCATGTAACATGGCCAAAAAGTGGTATTTCTCGTAAAAGTAATTCACATGCTAATCTCTCATTATATTGATAACATCTATTAATGAATTTCGCTGCATATGTTTCAAATTCAAGTGCTTGAGTTCGAAGTTTTTCTTTATATTCAGGATTTGTCGATGCTTCCGCATATTGTTTAAATATAGCCGAGGCAAATAAAGAAGCACAAATACGAGACTGTAAATAAAATAGAAATATTTTGGCCATTTGAGGCATATCCATAAAAATCGACCACAAAAAAAGATCACGAAACAATTGATCGTTTGTATATGAACGCTCCACATCATTATTTTGACTAAGTTGC